GGCCGCAGGAATTAGATCTGGTAATTGAGTTCCTTTTTTTTTCCTTTTTTTTTGGGTATGACTATGCTCGAGACTCTGGGTTCGTTTCATCTTGTCTGGATATCTAGTTTAATTTCTATGTTCAACACTATGCGTGACGAGTATTTTCTTTTGCCTAGAACTATAAGATTTGATCTTGAGTTGATGTAGGTTAATTCCAGCGTTGAAGAATTATGGTTGTTTAGTTCCGTGTTATTGAAAATTAGTTAAAAGATATTTGTTTGATGTTTAGTCGATGCAACATCATCCGTTACAGGATCTATTTTATAGGGGTTGTTTGTGTTTGATTAATGGTTGTGTTAACGAGCACTTTCTTTTCGCGTTATTGAAAATGATGTGCTACCTTCATTGTACTTAGTTTTGATGCTAGTGTAGTACTTGGCGAATTGTTGTTTTCGCTGAGGTGCACCGTGCGCAGTTTTGAACCAATGTTACTGGTAAATGTGGTTGTTTATTTGAGTGATGTGTTGTTTTTCCAGCCGAGTATGTCGTCTTTTTCAAGATTAACTTACTGTCTGCTGTGTTTGCATTTGACATGTAATGACATGCATTTGGATGATTTCTTAAGCGTGCTTACATGTGCATGTGTGTGCGTATTCTGGGTTTTTATACATTGTCTCCAATATTGTTTTGAACATTTGAAAACCCATTTTGCCCACGAACTGACATTCTAGTTGACAACGCAAATGTTATACCACAGACTGATCTTCGTAGATTTCCTATTCATATCGTTTGGAGTTGGACTTGTAAAGTCGACCTCCACTGCTTAGCATTGATGGTTTGTATCCTGATAAGACCGCATGTTAGTATTGTATTCGAAGTCCTTATTGGTACTTGGGGCGCTGCAAGTGACTGTTCAACATCTATCCTCTGTCAACTATATCATTCGAACTGTTAGTATGTGATTTGAAGCGCTTAAGTATAACTTAGTGATAACTAAAATTGACTAATTATGCATTATATTCCCATTGTCTTTGTGCATCTTCTCTGTGTGGCTCTTATAGGGACATGAAGCCAATAGATTCCTTGCTTCTTTGAGCATATGCAAGAATTTTCCATGATAATCGGACAATTGAAAGCTTCTCTACCTATTGTTTTCAATCGATGATTCAAGTGAAGCATGGCTTATGTATCCTCGTCATTGTACATTGTTAACCCAACATGGTCATAATATATTGGAATTAACTCAGGTTAAATTTTGGAGAGAACTTGAGGTATTATATATAGAGTTAAAGGGTGGTTGTCATCCACTGGTGATGGTGGATGGGTGGTCTTGGGTTGGTATCAAGAGTATGGATCCTGTGTTATTATGTACAGCGTTGAAATCCGAAGAATTAGAAAAGAAATAAAACCACCATTTATACTCAGGGCAGATGAAGCCAAAAGTTTTTGTCATAGGATTATTAAACGAGGAGTTAGGTTCAAGTCAGGTTGGGCAAGTGCCTAACCTGGATTTGGGAACCATGCACTGTTGTACAGTTTGTATTACCTATGTGCCTCATCTAAAACCTTTATAACTTAGGTGTTGATAACCTAAATTAAATAACAACTATTTGATATCCCTTTGAAACTAATTCCTTAGGTACCGTTTGGCAAAGGGTTAAGTGAGGGGTTAAGGAGACTTAACCTCTTCTTAACCTGCCAAACACAACAAATCTATATAAGGGTTAAAGTGAGTTAACCCTCCATAATTTGCCAAACATAAAAAATATAGAAGGGTTAAGTTAACCCCTCTAGAGGGGTTAAAATGAGTTAACCCCTCAAAATGAGGGGTTTATTAATACTCCTATTTAGATGGAATAAGAGTTAACTCTTCTAATTATAAAGAAAATAGTCAAAATCATTGTTATTCCCAAACACTAAAACTGATCATAAGGGCTAAAATAAAACTTATTTAACGGGTTAATAATTTAGTCCTTCGGATTATCAAATGGGCTAAGTACATTGATTCTTCTCTTTAACCCCTCTTCATTAACCCTTTGCCAAACGGGACCTTAGATTTCAATCTCCATCTCCCTTGATTCCAATTAGAGGATTAGATTTTTTTTTGGTGAAAAGTGAAAGTAGTATTTTACATACAGTTTTTTTTTGTTTATATATATTCTCATGTTTTATTAAAAATACACTTCTAGAATGAAATAATTTCCAATATGAAATCTATAGTTACCAGTGCTCTATCTCAATAAAAATTCTGGCTTCGCCCATGATGATCATGACCTGTCAGATGTACTTTGTTGGGATTAAACTTGAAGGGTATTTGTTTTGTAGAATTATTTTCAATAATATATATTTATATAGAACGAAGTAAATATGTATTTTTTGCTCCAGCCACTCTTCCGCCGTAGAAGAAGTTATTGGCGTGATTCAGCCTTGCTCCATAACCATAGTATCATGGATGCTATTACACAACCTCTCTTATTTGATAGCCTCGGTTCAAAAATTTCGAGGATTAGCCAGCTTTGTTTTTCCTTCTAAATATTATCCTCGTCTTGAATCCTAGCAACTTGTACAATAAGTGCTTTTATTTGAATGGATCTGACCCTTTGTCCAGTTATGATGGTTTGGGCATCATCATTGTCTTTCAAGGCAATGCTCCTGCATTAGCATTTACCGATATACTGCCCATAATACAACCTAGCCAGTAGTGTCCAGGACATTCAGTTAATTGACTAGCATCGCAGAACTCGATGGAGGTATGAATTATGTTTTGAACTTTTCTGCTGTTCATGTTTCTCCTTGCTGTGGCGGCTTAATGGGGGCGGATAGTAATCTTTCCCCGGTTCTAACTTATAAACTGCTGACATTTTGGTCCCTGGTCGTGTGGGATTGTGTTGCTTTGATAGATTTCCATGAGAATTCATGGATTTTTATTTTGAAAGGGAAATTCATTTTTTAGTTTTACAGTTTGCCCAGATAAGATTATTGGTTATTGCTGCTGATGAAATCAGGAGTTCTGCAGCACTTCTGCTGCTAGAGCTTGGATAACACACAGAGTTCTGCAGTAACTTCTATTTTGACTGTATGTTCCCTTCGTGTGGTTCGTGAGGCTCGGTAGATATTACCACTGCTGGTTTTCTCGACCCTCTAATGTCAGTATGTCAATTTGATGTGGGTTTCTCTTAGCCTCTTTCGCTAGGGGCTGTGTTCGAATTTGTTATGTTTTGTGGGATCTATTTTAATTGTTGATCCAAACCTCTCTGTTATAAGCTAGTCCAACGAGTTTAAGTGTATTTCATTCATTCATGTAAAATGTATTTCGTTCATCCAAATGTATTTCCTTGTGTGTTTGATGCAAAGGAGAGACTAGGGCTTGGCTTGGTAGGAGGTGAGGCAGAGTAAGGTAAGGGATAAAATTTAAAATCCTCCTTGGGATTGAGTTTTTAGAGGATAAGATGAAGTAAAATGAGGTGAAGAGAGAGAAAACGTAAAAAGAACTATAAAGTGAAGAAAGAGAAAATCCCTCTAGTGAAAAGAGAGAGAGTGCAAAATGAACTAAAATGTTATGTACCTCTTTTTTTTTTCTTTTTTCAACTGAACAAGTACTACATAAAAAATGTATTCCTCCTTTTAAAAAGTATATTCCTCCTTTTGCACCTTATTAAAACTTACGTTATCTTACCTTTCCTCATTTTATCTCCTACCAAGCCAAGCCTAGAAATTCAGTAACTTCAGACAGAGATCAAGAGAAGCATCAAATTGATGCATAAGAAGTTAAATAGAAAAATGACCTTATAAAAACTACACCGGGAATGCTTTTTTGAATTTGAGATTCTTGCTCTCTTGGTACGCCCGCACAGCTGTGCTTTGCGGTAGAAGAAAAGTAGGGTGCTTAAGGTCTAGATATGGTTTGGATGTGAAACTTATTTGTATTTGCTTACCAATCTCGGATATGGACCCAGATAGGGGTATGACCCAATAAAGAAAATTTATATTCATATCTGTTAAAATGGGATACGGATACACACATGCACACATATGGATATATTCAAATATACTTGTGGATACAACACTGATATGAGAAAACTTGATTATATTGAGAAAAATATAGTTTATATGTTAAATACGGATCCAAATATTTTAATATATATATATATACATACGTAACTGTACCTTATCAGATATAGATCAACGATTACAGACACAAATATATTTTTACACCCTTAATTGGCGCCGTAGTACTTACCCGAAAAATCAACCAAACAAACAAAGATATGCATAACTTTTGTCTATTTAATCATTGCGTAATTTGGAATTCCTCCTAAGAAAATGACAAATTACATAGAATACTTTACATAACCTTTTAGACAAAGCCAGGAAAAAGGATTTTCTTTTCCTGAATTTAATAATCAAAACTTTTTATGTAAACTAGCACATTCACACGTCCATAGATGCACATGCGAGAACATTAAATTTGTTATCCCATTAATTTTCTATTGTACATAGTAATAATTCGACCATGATTTAATTTATGTTATTTTATTATAATAGTTCCACGTGGAAATTGTATCTCAAGCTATTCTTTGGTAATTAAATCAACAAACACTCTTAATACCATTTTTTTTTGTTGAAGAGTTGTTCTTTAAGGATAATATAATTAGAGCAAGAAATTAATAGAAAAATAGAGAAGATCCTAATTTAATTATGTAAGTTTATATCCTATTCTCATGTTATGATGTAGAATGTTCTACAAATATGAAAAGAAAAAAGAAAAAGAAATAAAGGGAAACCTCCCTTGTCAAGTAATTTTAATTATGTGAGTTCAAATTATATTTCTCATGTCATTGTTTGAAAATGGTCTAGAAATAAGAAATAGAAAGGAATGGGGCAAAAAAAAATCTCTTTTACAAAATTATAATTTTATTCTCACAAATTTAATTAAAAAAATATAAGTCTACCAAGTACCAACCATCCGACCTTTTATTACCCTCACTAAAAAGTTCATTAGATATTAGCATAGATTTCCTTCTCAACTTCTCCACTCGGCCTTGAGAAAGTTCTCACGTCACGATAAAGCGTCCATCATGAAAAAGACATCCCACCCGGCCCAGTGCAGTATTGGGTTATCGGGTACATATCCACATATGCAAATACCCGAACCGCCTCAGTTATTATTTTTCTTAACTTCTTCTCGACCTCACTCTCTCTGAACTTGCAAACTCGAGCCACTGAGAAAAGAAACGATGGAGGTTCTCTTCGATAACGATCTCCAAATTCCCGCCAAAAGCCAAACCGAATCGCCAAATCCAACCCCCTTGTCCTCCCTAATCTCCGCCCTCGATCTCGCCGCTCAATCCGCCAAAACCCTCCCATCCTCCTGCGAAACCCTAGCCGCCCTCCGCTCCGCCCATGACCTTATCGGATCCTTCCTCTCCCAGATCGGATCCGATAAGGTCCAACGCCAGGACGAGGATGAGCCGATGATCGATCGAGGGGATGAAGCAGGAGGGGAGTCGAAGATTATCGAGGAGGTGGAGGAGGGGATGAGGGAGTGCGTGCTTCAGGGCAAGAGGAGGAAGCGGAGGGTGTCGCCGTCGTCGGTGGCGGGCCGAGATGCGGG